ATGCGCATAACCGACTCTGATCTTGATTGGTAGACAATACGGCAGCCCACATATAGGTGTTAACTGGGCTTGTCTAGCCACTCCTTTGTGGTGCATATTAATACTGGCAGACGGGCAAGATGTTTACAGAGGTACAATAATGTGAAGTACAAGTGATATACATAATGCATTTTGGCACATGATACATTTTGACACATTATTAGGCTGGCCACCAAGCGTTACGTTGACATCGTTAGAGATAGATTATGTTAATGCAAAATTCATTTGCATAACTTAAAATAAAACGTTGGTTCATTCTTAACCCTACCCCACAAAAACATCCCTAGCCCTTCCACAAACACAAAAATATTCTTAGCCCCACTACACACTACAGATGGCATAATTTTTCTGCCAAAATCGTTTCTGAAAAGGTACCTTAAATTAACGTAAATATGTCTGCGATGCTGCTTTCAAAAGGAGCATTTTGAATACACGACAAGTGCTTTTATCATACCTGACAAATTCCGTGTGAAAAAATCGTAAACCTCTTCCCCCATCTTAAACATGGTTATGTGCCAGTTGAAACAAAAGCATACTACCCCCAGCCTAAGCCTGTCCCTCCATGTTAAACATAGTTATGTCCAAACTCTTATATGAATACGTATTTTTAACAAACCGAGAACATGCCGAGCAGGCCCTGTTTTAAATGACTCCAGCTTTACAAAGGTTTGCGCAGCACAGGGCAAGAGGACTGCAAAAGAGCAGGAAGCAGTGTTGAGCCCGTTAACTGACCTTGCTTTCCCATCCCAATATGGTTCAAGTTTGAGCGGTATTTCCAACCATTTGTCCCGTTGCGACACGTTGCTAACGACCTGCCTCCCCCCCGCTCTTACATTGTTTGACGCTGTGTTTAATTCTAGTACGAAATACGGTATTAAGGCACTACTAGCAAATGACAATGTGTTTTGTCAATGTCCGTTCCGTCCAAATACAGAAAGTAGGTTGTATTTGTATTTAAGGTACGTGATCTGTAAAGGTATATGTATACATACATGAATATATACATTGCGTTATATACATAGTTATTTCATAGTTGTTTGACAAGTTCATTGCCAGCAAGAGATTTAGCAAGGCCCACATTTTCACTTAAAGTTTAAAACTGTGTTTACTACTTACAGAACTTGGTTATTTTCCCTAATTTTTCCCTATGTTGTGTTATATATAACGGGGAGAGGGGTACATGTATTCATGTATGTTTTCCTTTTTACTTTAATCTATCCTTTTGTTGAGATCTTACTTTCTATATAATATATATATATATCTGTACGCTGTCAGTAGTGTGTTTATAGTGGATAAAATGCCTTTCGTGCAGCGACCCAAATGTGCCTTTGTCCGTGTGCAGTGACCGTAAAAAGGAACCTTACAGTGACGTAAATGGTCTATTCACATTGGACTGTTCCATTTGAAAAACATACTTGAAGTAAAAATGGAAATTGGCACATTTCTCTCTTAAAATGAAAAGCATTTAACCGAATAAGATAACATACAGCTAAGAGAGAAATGATGCCTTATTACTAGTAACTTAGCTTTCAGTTGAATGATTTAGAGGGAAGCGTCCGTGTTGAAATTCAATATGCAGGATGACTCAAGCAGGCTAATATTTGACGTGTGTGCCACGTGTCCGGTGTACTGACATATTATGTTAAGTAGGTGACAGACCAGGGAAGATATACCTTGTTCAACTCTTTAAATATGTGCATAATGCAGATAAATGAAACTGTTGAAGAATAAAATTAAGCCGACAAATAAAGAAGCATTTGATCAAACCCTGCTTAGCAATTTCCTTGCCTGAATGAGAAGACAAAGATTTTGAACTAATAATTTGAACACAACTAAGTAGTCACTCGTGAACATGACAACAAGCACCATAGCTACATGCCATTGTAATTTCAACGGTACGCGGGAATGCACATAATACCTTTGGTTGATGAGTCTCTTCCATGGGAGACTGCCCTCCAAGTAAGCGTCAGGGAGGGTATCGATTAACCTGGTTGGGCTGGCCCAGTCGCACATGCTGGCCCTTAAAACCGGCTGGGTCTCACTACCGAAAGTCAGCCAAAGGTGTGCATTCCAAACAACTAAGGAAGTTCCACACTACACACTCTGGCTAGCCTCTTCCTAGCCAAACGATACACCTTTACTAATGTTAAGGTATACATTTTCTTCTCGTGGCCCTGAGAGGACCTGGCATAACTGTCGGAGATGGAACTTTTTTTTATTGCTTTATTTTAGTGCAAGAATAATGAAGATGGTATTTTGCATGTGTGTTTGCATATAATATGTGTATGTGTGTTG